GGGGCGCTGTAAGGGTACATTCATAGGTCTCATTTGTGGCGTGAAAGTATGACTGCACAAATCTGTTTGGTTTTCGAGATATGGCGTTTATGATTTTTTCATTTTTTTTTCAGAAAACTTCGAAAACTTAAGATTAAAAAAAAATTGAAAGATTTGAAATTCTTGTAGTTGGGTACTGCAAGAGTATCTTCAGGAGTTCCATGATGCAAATCATGCGTCAGTTTGCGACTGCTTCAAAGCTAATAGTTTCCGAGATCTGGCTCTTGTTATGTCTTTTTTTAAGTTGTTTGAAGAAATTATATATAAAAAATTTCACAAACTTTGAAGTCCTGGTCTTTATAGTGAAGCTTTGCCAGGGTAGTCTCAGACGTTGCAATTTTTGACCCGAAATATGTCTGCTCAAGTCCTTGATGTTTTTTGTGGTTTTTTCAAAATATTTTCAGAGTTTGGGGGCTATCAGAGTACTCTCAGGGGTTGCATATTTTGCCTACAAATATGATTGCTCAAATTTTTGTAGTTATCCAGATGTGACGTTTCTTATGTGATTTTTCAAAAAGTTTTCAGAAAACTTAAATTTAATTTTTTTTCTTCAAATTTTGAAACTCCTAACCCTGTAGTTGTGCGCAATCAAATTACTTCCAGGGGTCGCGAATCTTGCCTCGGAATGTCACTGCGCAAATTTTTAAATTTTTGTTGTTTTGCGATATGAAGTTTTTTTATGGTTTTTCAAAAAAAGTTTTAAAAAACTTAAATTTGAAGTTTTACAAAATTTGAAATTCCCAACGCAGTAATGGAGTACTTTCGGGAGGGGAAAATCATGCCTCTACCTGCGATTGCTCAAAGGTTTTTAGTTTCCGAGATGTGGCGTTTTTTCATATCATTTCAAAACTTTTCAAAAGAACTTAGATGTTAAAACTTTATGGTATTTCAAAGTTTGAATTTAAAAAAGGCTGCAGTTCTTTGTTCCATTATATGCAGTTTTCTACAGTGTTCTTAAAAATTTGAAGCACCGTAGGAGCGTTACACGCTAATTAGTGTGAAAATAACGTGAGTGATTTATAAATTCAGAAGTGGATTTACAAAATCATGAAAGCCAATCATAAAAGATTCTTGAATTTTGAAAAACTTTAATGTGATATATTGTTTTTCTCCGAAAGTTGAAGAATAAGCCAACCATTGTTTTTTCAGCATTTTTAGTCAGTCATTTGGGTGATTACAATTTAAATTGGAGCTGATTGATTTTCGTAAATTGTGAAGCAAACAGAAATAGTTACCACCAAATGGAATCAATTACAAAAAAGGCATGGTGGTTAAACTCAATTTTTATCTTTTTGCCCTTTTTGTCTCCGTTGAAATGAAATGCCAATCAACGTAATAGAGAAAATAATATGTGCCGTGTTGATATTCTAAAGATTTGAAATTAAACAATCGGAACTAGATCATTTTTTCCATGTAAATAACTTCTCTTACGACCAACAGGTCACGATTCCTGGCCGGGCTCGATTCTCGGCCGGACATTGTTTTCCTTTTCACTATGTGTGTACCTGATCTTTGGTTTATTGTTGAAACTCGTCACCTTTCAAGGCCCTTTCCACTTGGTCTAGACTCTAGAGGTAGAGAACGTGACTTTGGTGCATAAGGTCTCGGTTCAATCCCCTGCCGGACAGTTTTTAAAGTTCTGTAAGAAACTGAACTTGCTTTTATCGAACCTCAAATATGCTTAAGTCCCTCTCACAGGACACCAGAAGTTAAGCAAATGCCTTGGGAACAGAAGGTCTAGGGTTCGAGTGCCGACCGGACCTTGTCTTTCTCTCGATGCATGGTTTTTTTTGCGAAAAGTTGAATTGTCGGACTATCAATTGTCTACTTAGATTTTGTTGCCTTCAGTCGGAAGCTTGGGTGTTTTTTCTTCAAAGCATCAATATTTTTTTTGTAATACAGAACAAGACTTTTTTCCCGAAAACAACTTTTCTTACAGGAAACTGCACTTGCGCTATTATTGAACCTGAACAACTTGCATGAGCCTTCCTTCCCACTTGGCCTCGAATTAACACAGTTGTTTTTGCCTCCTGGGCTCTGGGGTTCGAGTCCCAGCAGGACCTTCTTTTTTTCTGTATGTCTGAAATTGAAAGTTTTTTTCCGGTACAAACCTTGTCACTTCACAGATTTTCCTTCTGCTGTAGGCAAGTATCATGGTTTATTATCGTTTTTTATTATAGTTTTTTCCATAAAAGTTTTTTATGAAATCAAATTTGAAGTCTTTTGAGAAAATGAAAAAAAAACTTATTCCATTTATGATACAGGAATTCTAGGAAAACATTCCAATATTGAACACTCTCTCTCTCTCTAAGTTTTTAATATCAAAAATACCTCATGTGACTGATTCAATGTTGAGTTTATGTAATCGAAATAATTGTTTGACAAAAAGTAGGTCACTATTTAAGAAGGTATTCAAGCTTGCGAAAAGAAATGTCTTATTAGTTTTACTGGAAATATTAAAAAAGTTTTGTCTTGTTTTTGATAAAAAATAATCGTTTGCAGAACAGAAACCTCAGTATAAAAACTTGATGAAGTGTAGTTTTTTGAGGTAAAAACGTGTTGCCTATAAAAATATACCCTGATACATGGTTGGAACAACCGGGCGATAAATATTAAACAAAAACCAAAGATATCTTTTTGATTAAATGAAATTTTTGCCCTCCATTCAACAAGTCAATGCTATCTCAATATTTTGTACTTGATCATATTTCTATTTTGAAGTTTATTTAAAATTGTTTTTGGGCTTTTTCATAAAACTATTTGTTTCTAAAACAAAAACCTTAACTTAAAAACTTGACAATTTTAGTTTTTTGAGCTAAACTATTCTTATATCAAGCACAAAAATTTCAAACAATCAATAAGTTTTCCTATTTTTTGACTAAATCTGTCGGCCTAATGTCGGTATCATTTTTCTATATCGGTTTCCTGTTCTTTTTGTTTATTTTTTAAAGCGCATATCAAGTTGTTTTAATTGATTTTAGATTGGATCGTTCGGTATACGCTCATTTCACACACCAGCATGAATTTTGATTTTCAGATCAACAATGCCACTCCTCATGTTGATTCTCCGCTAGTGAAAGTTGCTCAGGTTTTTGACCAAAAGGTCCTTTTTTGCTTATAGAAATTGGTAAGATTTTATTCATAAAAGTTAATAAAACCAAACTAATTTTAGTACAATACCCCACATGCTCGCAGAAAAAAACGACAAAGTTTCATGTTTTTAAACAATATATATCAATTGCTTTTTTTCAAAAGTAACTATGTCGCTATTTTAAGTGCTACTGAAAAACAGCCACCGAATTTTCGTATTCTTTTGAGTTTTTTTTTCGAAAAATCTAAAAAGCAGCTTTTTTACTGATGTTCCAAACACTATCGACGTTGCTGTATACATGTAGAAGTTTTGCCCAATTTTGGTTAAAATTCGGGACGTTTTTATTGGCCCACATGTTACACGTTTTTGCTTTCTGTTATTGTTTTGTCTAGCTTTTAATTGAACGCAAAAAGAAATCAGCAAACTACTCTTTCTATTCCTGTTAGATGATTGACAGGTCTTTCTTGAACAAAAAACATTGATTACCTACTGTTGCAAGCGTTATTTTGAGTTCCTGCTTTTCTTTAAAAGTTTACTTGCAACTGATCCGTTGGGTATGTTGTCCAATTAACGTAAAATTTTCATTGTTAGATGTTTGAGTTAACTGATCAAATAATTTTGAAAAACTTAATTATATCTCTTATTTTCTTAAATAGTTTGTTCAAGTGCGCTGAATTAGTGCGAGAAACAACCTTGGGATTCATTGTTTTAACTGATATTTGTTGGCACGTTGATATCCGATAGCTCTTTGTCGCAGTTGGTGCAAAATTTTGCTTTGCTTGAGGTAACTTCTTTGCTACCTAACAACCACAAATTTGTGTTCAATTTTTTTTAATCATTGCGTATTGCTCGATCATTTTTTTGCTAATTAATAACATGACTTTTCTCAACTTTGCTGCAACGCATTCATTGCTGACTATTTTTTTACTGTTGTATGTGTGTTTACTCCTGAGATAAGCGAGATATTATTGTGCAATTGCGAATTCAATTGACACGTATTTAGACGTCAGTTTTTTTTACTTTTTTAAAACTTATTTTTGCCTTGCTAAACTTGTATGTTTTTTTTTATTTTTGAAGCGGCTCACCTGTTCCGTGTTTTCACTCGTATGTGCTAAATGCAGTTTTGCCTCTGTGTACAAATTGTTTTATTGAAAGATATTTAGTTACACTTGCGAGGAAAAGTGTATTAGTACAAACTTTCTTGTTTTCCAACCTAAGTCGCAAGTAAAAGTGCTACTTTTGGTGGCAGTTTTGAATCGTTAGGCTGCCGTAACATTCTGATATCACATGTGCTTTGACTTTTGATTAGTAAAAATTTAACACAGCTGATGCAGTTTTAATTCATCAAATGAACTGAAAAAATGTTTCAAACAGCAGAACAATGATAAAAAGCTCGACTTCAGAAATTTTCCAACTCAATGTATCTCGCAAATTTTTTGAAATGCATAGTTTATACATAATATGACTTTTGCTTTCCAATTTATTAATGCAAAGTTGTGTCTTTTTGTATTTGGTGCTAATTTTGCTGCATCGAATTGGAAATTTATTAGCATATGTGGCTGCGTTATTGGTGGCTAGTTTTTGGGATTTTAAGCATCCGTGGCTGAGTGGTTAGTGCGTGCGACTTCGAGGCTCATTTCTACTGTTTCTCATTTCACTTGATAGACCTGCATTTTGGTCGTGTTCTCCCAAGTGTTTGCGAAGCGCAGCTTCGCCTCTGTGAAATTATTTTAATCAAAAATTTTTTGTTCCCCCCTACCACCACGAGTTTCTAGATGAGACAAAGAAACTTGTTCGTGAACAAAGTATGCTAAAGCTACTCTCTAAACTTTGCTTCTTTTGTTTTCAAAGTGAATTTGAAGCGGTTGATTTTTACACAAAGTATCTGTAAATTGTTATCAGATTATTTTTTCCAATTACAATATGATATATAACGAATTGAGGTACGATTTCAATAACGTTGTGACGTTAAAAAACTGCATTGGTTAGGAATGGAGCTGCATAACATGCATTTTCTAAGCGGAGTTTTCTCCATATTGGGTAGAATTGTTCGCTTGCAGACAAAGCAAGTCGAACAATTTGGCGCTGTATTCACCTTGTGCATAACACACAGCCACGCCTCCCCTCCTCCTACGGGTGAAAAATTGGTGGGGCCCGAACAGATAACACAACACTGGGCATTTGGCCGAACTAGTTGACCCATACCTTTCATAGAGTTCTTGCAAAATACACAAACGAATAGCTGCGTCTCGTTAATTTGGTTTTTCTGGCACATTTTTGAGCACGCCAGTCGCTTCAAAAATTGAGATTTTTCAAAATATGGGGACTTAATTCCAATTTCGTGTGTTTTAAAAAAAGAAACAAGCTCGTTATTTTTGCCCAGTTTCTGTAACTGAAACGGGACTTCAATTTGAATAGTTCTTTCGTCGCATAGGCTCGATTTGAAGTCGCGGAAGTATTTCAGTATATCAAGTCGAGACTGCTGACAATCTTCGTTTGAGAGAAGGTCTTCAATTGCTTTTCTGATGCAATCTTCTTTAAGAGAGTAGATTACTTCGGACTGTCTTTTGTACATTAAAAGATATGGGCGAAGTTGTCGAAGCACCATGTTCCAATTTTTGGCATCTAAAGCATAACATTTGATTTATTCCTTTAACTGCGTAAAACTGTAGATGGTTAAGCGCTAAGAATTCAACTGTTAACCGTATACAATTTTTATACCTTGCAATGAAATTTTTCATTTTTGTATTGGGGGGGGGGGGGGCAGACATAGTTTACTTACTCAATTGGTTTTTGGCTGCGAAATCTCCCATTAACATTCTCATATCACATTCAGTTAGACCTGTTTTAACGCACAACAGATATCCACTGGCACGTGAAATCAACTTCGTGTCATCTTCAGTTAGAATTCGTTCTAGAATATTCTTCCCCAACTCCCAGATGTCATCGGGAAAAGATCGAATCTTATCAGTCAGGGTTTCGAAAACTCCGAAAGTTACTAATTCTCTACATGCCATTTCGAGCCACAAAGGAAAACAAGCGTTCCTTTTATCTAATAGAACCTCGTATTGCGTTTCATCAAGCTGCTTTTTGTAATTCGAGAAAAATTTTTGGACAAAATTTTGAGACTGCGCTCGACTGAGACCTTGCAAACGCAAAACAGTTATGTCCAGATTACGTAATCGTAACAAAATTGCGTCATTTTCAAGGGAAGATGAGATAATAAGTTTGGTATTTGGTGATTCGTGAAATACTCTGGAAACCCAAGACAAAAACGTCTGCTGATGTTGCTCAGATTTTTCCATGAGGTCAACCGAATCGACGATAATCATTAAGGGTTTAGAAAGTTCGCTTGACTTTTTCACGACTGTTTCGAATTTTGCAATCAAAGTTTCTTGACTTGCTGAATCCTGCTTATCATTTTCATTGTTTTCCGTTGTATAATTCATGAAATCGTGCATCGAGTCAATTGTTTCTTCTAAAAATGAACTCTGCGCTTGGGAAGCAGGGTTGTTTGAGACAAAATGATAAATCAAGTTATATTTATCGGATTTTTCTGATAAATTTTCCACCAGTTTCGCTAGAAGTGCAGTTTTTCCGGCACCTGATTCGCTGGTCACCAAAACTATGTTTGATTGAAAGCTAGATTCTTTATTCTGATTGGCTGAGAAATCATTGCTACTGCTCTCTGATTGGTCAATATCAAGCATTGGGAAAATGTTCTGATTGGTTGTCAGAAATCGGTTCAACTGCTTCAGTTCCTGCTCTCGTCCCACAAAGTTAACGGCTAAAGATTTCACATTGGCTAATTTTTCCCAGTTTTTGTCCAAGTTATCCATGGGAAATGTTTGACTTACTCTCGAAGAGAAAAAATTGACAACTTTCGACTGAATTTCAGACAAATCCTCAATTTTCAGCGCTTGCGAATTTTCTTCAGCTATAACTGAAGGTGTATATTCGATAATCTGTGAATCAGAATAAGTTTGGAAAAGTGAGTTTTTCAGTGATTCTAATTTTTGCTCGCTATGTTTGCTTGTATCCACGTAATCATTTCGTAAATCTTTTGAAATGGAGTTTGGAAACTCTACATTTCTAATAAATATCAAAGCATTTGGATTTGGTCGGAGCAAAGCTGCTTTCACAACCTCCATGTGTGTGATACTGGCGCCCGATACCCAGTCGTAATAGTCTTTGAAATCTGGACTGAATTTTGATTGGTCGGATAAATCCGGAACCCAACCGTACCTGGATCCGAGAAATAATATAAAGAACGGCTCGCCTTCTGTTTCGTATTTACACTGCTCTATTGTATCCAGACAAACACTGATAGTTTTGCTGTCGCCGAAGTCTCGCGGGATGCCCCAACGCAAATCGCAGTCGTAAAAAGTCACGACCGAATTCCGACAAATATCCTCCAATTCGGGCAAAACATGCTTGACAAGAAACTCCCGCTCGTAGAAGAAATCTTTAAACGTCGAAGATATGAAAAAGCGAGCAATTCGCATTGATTTTGAACTCCGATCGCCTTTGTAGTTATCAATGGTGTAACTTGGTCTCTGTAACAGGATTTGCTTCCATAAAGGATCTTTTGAAAGGTCAATGCGACGTCTCATGTTTTCGCTCTTCTCTCGTTTTTTCAACTCAGTTGTAGTTCGTTCTGTTTTCAGTTTAGCTCTCGACGAACTTTGCTCTGTAATGTTTGTTTTTTGAACTGATACAATCTCGCCCATTTGAATAACCAAATCAGTAAAAAGACAGGTGATTTACTTGACTATTTTGACTATTTTGCTTGTTTTTGTGGTGCATTTGAATAGAGAGTATTTTTATGTTCAATTTTTTTGCGTTGCTTGGTAAATGCGAAGGCTTTTGTTTGTGTTCAGTAACTGCACGCTCACAAAATGAGAAGCCTTTTCACATTTCTCTAATAGTACATACGCACCACAAGAATGCTTGATTTTTTGCAAAGGAAAATACATGGAGTTAATACTCACGGGAACTATATAGGATGGGATTTCTTTCCGAGCTAATTTTCTAGCGATGGTTGCACAAAACAGGATGTCAAATTTGATAAAATCAGTATGCCTTGCTTAAGCCGCTGAAACACACACATAACTGCAAAATCTCGACAAAATTTGCTGATAGAATGGTTTCTTCAGTTTAATTCTTGCTCATTATTGCAGTTTTTACCTCATTCGGTCACTTTTTGCTAGAAAAAAATTTAAAAGTTAGAAAACAAATAAAAATATCGAGAGAAAGTTTGAAAAAAAATTCATTTGCATTTTTTTTAAATTTGTTTTTGTTTTCATTTCGTTCCAGCTATCCTTGTTATTTCTTTGTTTGAAGGCTTGTCTCCGGATTCCAGAAGCCCACTTGCAAATTTTTTGAAAGTAAAACTTACATAACTTAACCGTGTAATGTAGCGCTAAAGGGCAAATTATATAAAAATAAAATTGAAAAAAAAAGTTTTTTTCCCCCAATCCATGAGCTTTTTTGCTATCTCTGGCTGCGTTTACTCAGTGTTTCATGTCATCGGCTTCATCTGAACCAGCACCTTAATCCCCATTTAAACTACACGGCCAAGTTTATTTGGTTGATGAAAACCAAGATTAGCAGTGTGCCTACACTATGTGTACCACTTCTACGGATACCTAATGAAATAAATAGATAATCTTTTACGCGTTGCGTAAAAGTTACAAGTATTTGATTTATACTTGTTATACCCTCAGCCGTTAGGTGAGGTATATACTGTGTAATCTCGATAGTCAAAGTCTATGCTTAATCGCTAACTAAGAATTGGAATACGAAGAGATTGAGAGCAACTTAATCTCAGTTTAGAAAGTTAAGTCTGATTCGAATCTGACCTCGAAATCATGAGAGAGACAGAGACTCATAAATAACTATTGAATATGGTGTTAGGTTTAATAGGTACTTAATTTAGATCAGACTTCTATATAGTTCAGTTTACATAGTGTTACATAAGTATATATGGTTAGCACTTGGGATGGATGTAATGTTTTAGATAAACATAGTTCTAGTATATCCGAATGGATAACAGTTCATATTGGTATGTACTGTATCCGTATGGATAACATTCCCCTTGTTTCTTATATGATGAATACATCATATATCTTTTGAATTATCCGTAGCGTCCTTGTGTGAAGTTTTGGGGTCGTTTCCATCCAATGATAATTTCGATATCTGTTGAGTATATGCTTCCGATGATGTCTGTGGGGTTTGTGTAGTGCTCGGCTTGTTGTTATTCTCCTCGTTTGCGTATTTGCTTGTACGTTTAGTAGGTCGCTCTTGTTTTTCGTATTCTCTCTGGAAAGTCGTTGAGTTTTTGGGTGGAGAGATGGATTGGAGTATTTTCATGGCATCGTTAAAGTTGTCAATGAAGGATTTGTCCGGAGAGCATGACGTTTCATTCGATCTACCTATGACGTAACGTGAACTAATCGCTCGTTGTTGGGGGTTATTTGGGCTAAGAGACGTAGTTGACGTATCTAATCCTGATGCGAAATTAGTTCGTGGGCTACTTTGTGGTGACGCCGTGTGTGTGTGTGATTTCGTTGGTGTTCTTACGGTATGTATGGGTTCATATACCGCTTCCGTTGGGCCGCCTGTTCCTTCACAAGATTCTGTAACCCTCATCTGTTCTGGTGTTTTCTCCGATGATTGGCACGGTGTTTTGTCACTTGATTCGATTTCTATACACTCTATGTCTGTTGAGGATTGTGGCGGCGTGGTTTTCCGATCTACTTTTTTGGCTGGCGGCATTTGCGGTGATTGTCTCAATTCTTGGATTATTGAGTCGTCTGATGAGATGGAAATTGATGTGTCACATTCGAATTCTATGTTTTTGTTTGCCTCCTTGCGTATCTTATTCGGGCTGCCTTGACCTTTTCGGCTTGGTGACTTTAGATTTGTGGTTGACGTTTGGGTCTTTGTCGTCGGGGCTTTAGCTGTTGTTGGGATTATCCTGTGAATCCTATCATGTCCTAGTTTCCGTCTGCTGGTTGTTTGTCGAATAAGTTCCTCGACATTCTTGGGTGGTTTCCGTTTTGGGCTTGTTGTTGCTGTTGAGTTTTTTCCCCCCCCGGTTTCCATGGTCTACTGTTTTCTTCTTTGGGAATTTTGAGCCAGTTGGTTCATTCTGATTGATTTCTTTGTCTAAAATACGGGATTTTGCTCTTGGTAAGTGTTTGTATGCTACGAAATCTTTTAGTTGTGCCGGTCTACATTTCCCGTACACCCTTGGGTCAGGTACAAATGCTAGTCCGTCGTGCCTTATGACCCTTGGTTGTTTTCCGTCCTCCCGAACCCATGCCGTGTGCGGGGAGTAGTTAATTATTGACCCGTTTTCAATAACTTTGAATTGTGGCCCAAATACCCCTGGATTTTTTGTTTTGCGTGCAATGGTGCACGATTTTCGAGCTACTTGTTCAATGCGTTTTCCTAACGCCGGGTCTATAGTTTTTTGGGGTCCTTTAAATCGATCTTTTAGGAACACCAAGGGAGCTCTTTCTATTCTATGTTTTTCCTGTTGTGTAAGCCACCGAATTGGTTTTCGTGTTCTAATATTTGCTATGTCATGTTTTGGGTTTTCTGCGAGAAAGGACCGTTTTACTTTTTGTAAATCATACGGTATATTATTAAGCGGAAGGTGCGCACCTATTGGAAACTTTCGTAGCAAGGCCTGGTCGAACAGTTCATCTTCGTCTGTGTCCGACAGTGAGATTTGCTTCTTTGTCTCGGAGGGAGTCTGTCTATGTGGTGTTTGTCCTAGGGTTTTGCTTCTAACCGCCTGTGAGGATGGTCCCGCTGGTTCACACGATGGTTCGGGAAGGTACGTTTGCTTGTACACCACATTGAGTTCATCCTCGCTATTGGTTTCCCTATTCCAGATGGCCTCCGGCGTGAGGGCCGGTTTTGTGAGCATTTTCTCATCTAGGCACGAAAGTTTTGTATTTTCCCATGAGAGACTAGAAATTTTAGGTGTAGTGCAAATATTAGTTAGTGGTGTGTTTGGTTTACGCCCGTAGTGCGCTTCAAACGGCGTAACTTTTGTTGTTGCGTGTGGGGTAATGCGTAGTGTTTTGATTAATTCCGCTACATCTGACGCTAGTTTGTACGGTGTGTTGTTTTTATCGATCTTCATTATAGAGAGACGAGTTTTCAAAGTTCGAATTAGTCTTTCTACCATGCCCATTGAGCGATGGTCATCCACTGGGGCGAATATTAACTTAATATTATTGCTTTTACAGTAGATTCTAAATTTTTTAGCCCGAAACCCTTGAGCTTGGTCGCACCTGATATTCCTTGGTACCCCTTGGTTAACCAAATGTGTTTGCATAAATCTAATGATTGTGTCTGCTTTGTTATTCGTTACCACTTTTGCGTAAGGGAATCGCGAGAATCTGTCTACCCCAACTAGAATGTACACGTCTTTATTGTTTTCGTCCGGTAGAGGTCCAGCGAAATCCAATTGGATTTCCAAGTTTGGTTCTACTACGGCGTCAAGGTTAGTATAGTGTTTTTTTCCAGATATCACCCGAAGATTCTTACCTTTGGTGCGGCACTCCTTGCAATTCTGTGCTGCCGTTACTATGTCACGATGTAGGAATGGGTACCAAATATGTTTGGCAGCTTCTAGCATACTGCCTTGTCCTGGGTGGGTCAAATGAATTGAGTCAAGAATAATCTGTCTAAGCTGCTTCGGAATTACTACTCTATCGTCATATAGCAGCACATTGTCTCGAACCGACAGACGGTTTCGCACGTTATAGAAATAAGGACCGTAACAGGCTTTTATTTGCTCCCATTTTTGGTTCCGGATCATGTTGATCAGGGGCTGGAGGTTTCTATCTCGTTTTGTTGCGGCCGCAATAAATTCTACATCTAGTGCCTTTCTTAGGTTCTTTCGGAACAGTGGTACATCTTCATCCTCCATAGAGATGGCTTGGCACTCCGTTTGCTCCTCAGGTGGGTCTGTCTGACATATTTGGTCGGATTTTCTTGTGAATGTGAAGCTATCTTTTGAAGGAATTATCTGGTATCGCACATCGCTAAATGACAGTGTTGATCGGCCTGGTTCTTCTGATAATTCGTTCAATGATGTGATCTTAGTGGTTGGAATCGATAAATTGGTTTGTTGGCCGCTGTGGCATTTCCGCATAATTCTTTTGAAAGGGGGTAGTGACATTCCTGTCTGAAGTTGGCGACTCATTTTGTTTGTTACTGGCTCGGGGGGTGTTAACTTAGGGTACACTTGTTGATGGTGATGAATAAATGATGTTTCTTCTTTCCGTGCTTTTTCTATTGAGGGCTGATTGCAACTGTATGAATTTATCGAGTAAAACTTTGAAATAATTGGATGTGACTGAGAGAGATTTGAGTAATTTGAAATTTTTGAGTGTGAAAGAGAGTGACTGTTTGTTATAGAATGATCGTTAACAGTGAACTGTGTTTCTTTTGTGTGCGAATTTGAACGATTAGAGTTTTCGTTCCGGTCGAGCTGTGCTGTGTGTTTAAATCCGTTTGGATTTTCGTTCATTTCGATGTTAGCTATAGTGCTGTCTTGGAATTCCAGGCAAGAAATGAAATCATCAATAAGCGCGACTACGAAATGCGAAATGTTCATCCCAATATGCGGGCGGTTGTGGTTTTCATACCGGATGGCGCGAAATATAATCTATTAAGCCCATTTTACTGCCGGAAAGGTGTTTGATGTCAAAATCAAATGGAATAAGACGGTCAATCCATCTAGTTAGGCGACTTTGATATGTTTTATTACTTTTATTACTATTTAGGGCACTGACCAGAGCTTGATGGTCCGTAATTAGTGTGAATCGGCGGCCATACAGATAGTA